GCAGACGCCATGTAGAAACACTCCTACCCCTTCTGGGTGGGAGAGTCTGGGGGCAGGCCTGGGCCCAGGTAGCAGTGGGGAGGGGGTCCAGGCTGCCCAGTCTCCGCTATTTGTGACACCCCATGAAAATGGCTCCCACTGGGTCCGATTGACTGCTGGAGATGAAGCCTATTCCTGCCCAAACGCTGTCTCGAGGAGAAGTCACTCATCTCCTCCCTCCCCCGTCCTCCTCCAAAGAAATAGAATCCAGACCCCTCGGTTTCTATTTTAAGCCCCTCCAGCAGGGCACCTCGGATGACCTCACTTCTCCGGCCTCTTCCTTCTTGGCCCCTCCCAGAGCCAGGCTCTGCCTCTCCTGGCCTCCCTGGGGCGCCCGGGACCCGTGACATGCCCCCTCCAGCGAGGTCATGGCATGTGTGGCTGGCTAAGCGCAGGACCTCTGAAGACCTGCTGCCTCGGTTCCAATCCTGCCCAGACCACCCTGGGCATGTCACTTAACCTGTCCTCATCTGTAAAATGGACATGTTCATAACAGCACCTCCCTCGATGACAAATCACGCCAATCACGTATTAAGCAGTTACAACACATGGGCATCCTTCTAAGTTGGTGTATTTAATCCTCACAAAGCCCTAGGAAGATGGTATTGTTATCATCACGGAGGCACAGAGAGGTCAAATAACTTGCCCAAGGCTGCTCAGCGAGCAAGCAGCAAAGTTGTGATGCAAAGCTAGGGAGTCAGGCTCCGACTCTCTCACAGTCATCTGTGTTAGCGCCTGTTCAGAGGAAGCCACTGCTCTCCAGTGTTATGATCACTTCCCAGCCCAGCTCCTGGAAGTCTGCCTGGTCCCAGGCAGCTACTGTTTATCCAGATGGGGCCTCCAGACACGCCCTGCACCTCCAGCCTCCTCTGCCCCCCAGCACGGACCCACTGAGCCCCAAGAACAAAGCTACTGCCATCTGCCCCCGAACTTGGTCAGTTGTCTGCATGTCCTCTCTGCACGGATGGTGGGACATCAGGCTCAGCTCAGCTTGCAGATCCCAGAGGGCAGGGAACACGGCGCTGTGAGCTCAGTGTGAAATGACACAAGTGCGGGTGACAGAGGAGCAGTGGCATCCTGGGGCTTGCTCAGCTGAGGGAGGGGTCAGCAGGACTGTGGCTCACTGACTCGCTTCCTTCCCCACCACTTGGCAGAGGTGCAGGGAGACCGAGAGGAGGTCAAACAGCGTGCAGCTAACACAGTGAGGAGCCGCAGCAGCAGGATGGCCGGCGAGCAACTGGAGAGGACGAGCCTGGACTCAAATCCTGGTGCAGCCCCCTCGCTGCGTGTCCTCAGACAAGTTATTTTATGTGACCTCTCTGAGCCGAAGTTTCCTCACCTATGACACAGAATGACAGGACCACTGCAAAGGGCCGTGTGAGGGGCTTATGAAGGACTTTATGTGAAGCACCAGCATTGTGCCCTGCACACAGTAAGTGTTCAATAAATGGTGGTCACTCTTACCATTTGGTCATTTAGTGTCCGGGAAGTCAGAGGGCAGTGGTCCAGGTTTCAGTTCACTTGCTAACTAGCCGTGCAATCTTGAGCAAGTCACTGTTCCCCTCTGAGACCATCTCTCCCCATCGAAAATGAGGCCATATTTGGGTGATGGGTAAAGTCCCTTAGAGCTCTGACTTCCCGAGTCCTTTGTAGCCCTGGGAGACCTGGACTTGGCCTGGAGCTCCTGGACAAGCACGGGGGGTTGTTCCACGGCGCTGGGGCCCCCTGAGAGCCCAGAACGACCCTCTCCCGGAGAGCGGTTACCAGACCTCTCCCACCCCGGCCAAGGGCCCACCAGGTCTGTGAGTTTTCTTAAAGGGGGACTCTGTCCTCACTCCCAAATCCACAAGACATGAAAAACTTAATTGTGGCTTGAAGATGGAGCCAGCTCCACAGGGAGGAGAAAGGAGAGAGCTAAGAGCCGGATGTGCAGCCAGACTCGCGCTGCCCTCCTGTTCCACACACATCGACCCTCGCACAGAGTGGGCTCCAGCTCGTTCCCAGCGACATGCTACGATGGAAAAGATCCTTTCATTACGTGTCCACTTGGCGCTCATTCAACATGCCACAAAGTGGAAATAATTAGGAATGTGTGTCAACCTTGGAGTGACCTCCCGCAGTCCTCCGCACGTCGCCTCGCACATGTGGGCCAGCAGAAATGGCAGCCCTGGCTGCCCTTGGCTTTCCAAACACGCTCTGCAGGCGCCGAGGGAGTGTCTGCAGATGGGACCCGCTCACCAGCACAGCCAGGGGGGCTGCGGGGCAGGGCGCACCTACAAATGCCTGCGGGCTGGGTGGTTCCCCACTTGCCCAAGGGCAGAGGTGGAGGGAGCAGCTGGTTGTGGACGCCTTCGGGACAGACAAGGCCAACTTCATACCCCTGCATGGTGGCAAAGCATCGTCGGAAAGTCTCTTCCTGCTGCACAAAGGTTGCTGAGCCTCACTTGGACCCTGTTCCACGCAGAGTAAGGAAGAAAGTCGTGCAAGGCTGAGAAAGGTCTTCAGCCCTCTCCTGCTCCCCTCAAGGACTCTGCCCCCTAGGCGCCCGGATGCCAGAGAGGACCGTACTGGGAGGAGAGCAGAGAAAGGCTGCTTGCTCCCCCTCAGCTGGCAGAGCAAGAAGCAGGCCCCGGAGGATGAACGAGCTCCACAACCACTGACGCTGGGTTCCTGACCTGCTCGCCCGATTCACCATCCGACCGGGCACGGAGCGGCAGGCACCTCGGAGGTGGTGGGGAGCAGGGCGAGTCCAGGACAAGAAGGAGGACTGGAGAGAACATGATCCACAACTGAAGTACCTGCACTGGGCCCGGGGAATGGTATCGATATACGGCATGGTGCTCTCCAGGGCACCCAGTGCTCCTTCTACAAAGTGCGGGGAGAAGCCCAGTGCCCTCCTTGGGCCGCAGGGCCTCGGCGGGAGGCATGGCTGAGCGGGCTGTCTTATCAGCTCCTAGAAGGGCAGGTCACTGGGCGGGCCTTTGGGGATGCCAACAGATTCTCTAGAGAAAGCTCCCTGCAGTGAATCCCTAGACCGTGAACACCTTGAAGGCAGGTTCATGGTCTGATTCATCTTTACCCCCTCCCCGTGTCGATCACAAGACAAACCCTCACTGTTGGTTTGTTGATTGAATTAAAGAATAAATGAATGAATGAGTCATGTCATGCCCTGAGGGAAGTTCGGGGAGAGCAGGGCAGAAATGGAAGCCTTCTGCCGTCTCCTCTCTTCCTCTCATCTCTGTTTTCTTCAGGCTCAGAGTACAGGTCCCCCTATAAAGCACAGGCAGATCCTAAGTCTCTCCCGCATGCAACCCGTCAAAGAGCCCAGTGTCCTTGGACGGGATGGATCACCATGACGACTAGCTAGTGCAGGAGCAGAGGCAGCGCCGCGAACCAAGCTCCCTTTCCCCAGGAGCCTCGGAGGAAAAGCCCACCTCCAAAGGCTCACTGAGGCTCCAGCCTGCAGAGTAACCCAACCTGTGATCTACAGATGCTTCAGATCTGCCTGGTGACAGTGGTCCTCCAGCGGACCAGCCTGGGCGAGTCCCAGGGCCAGCCTGCAGCAGACGTTACAAGTCCCAGCCCTCCCACCAGCGCATCGGGGAACGAAGGCAAGCGCCTGCCTGGTGAGGTGGACACAACCAGGCTCCAGCAATGTTGCGCACACGTGAGGAAGCCATCACACAACAAAACTGCAGATGGAAAACTAGAGCTCCACGGAGCGTCCTGGTTACCACGTTCTAATTCTGACGGCTTCTCTGTGCCAGTGAATTTGGTTTCTTTTGTCTCCTGCCACGCACTGGTCCCCCGTTTGGATGCCTTCTGTGGAGGCAACGGCTTACTTTTCAGGTGCCGGGTCTCTACCCCACAACCCTCCTCTGCAGGGCTTGTCATGGAAGAGTGAGTGCTGCTGCTCTATGTTCGGGGTCACTGGCTCCAAGACCACTGCTGGAGAGCAGGCTGGCAGAGGGCTCGAAAGGGCCCAGCTCCCAAGCTAGAGGGACACCCAAAGACCTGCCCAGTAGGGGACAAAGAAGGCAGGAATGCACACCACCAGGGTCCCACTGGAGCAGGGCTCTGAGATGAGCTGTAAAACAGACCCTCTGGACAGCTCAGGTTTGCCAAAAGCAAGTCCATTCCTTCCTGGGGCAAGCGTCCCTTTGGAAACCAAAGGACAGAGCAGATTCCCTGCAGTGTGGAGTGTATTGTACCTCTGCTGTGGATCACAGCGATCCTCTAGGTATTTTTTTAAGGTTGTAAGAAAACCAACACACACCTCTAAACCCTGCTAGGAGCTTAGGATCTGACCCATTTAGGGATCTGATCTGCAGTACACAGGCATTCACTCATCATTTATTCATTCAGAGACACCTACTGAGCACCTGTGTGGGCAGAGAGTGGCCTGAGGATGCACCTGGGAACGGGCGGGGTCTCTGCCCGTAAGGAATACCACCGTGCTTGAGTCTCAGGGGTCTTCTTGGTGAGTTTCACATCCTGGGTCCTGAGGCTCAGTTAACAGTGCTATGCACATCAGGAAGGTGCCACTCGTGGGAGTGGCCTGTGAAGAGAGGTCCTGGGAGAGGGAGCAGTTGTTGGGAGGTTAGCCGATGGCTCTGCACTGCTCCCTGGTGCCCAGTGCCTTCACTGTTAATCTGGGGCTGCGACCTGGCTCCTGGCTCTCAATCTGTTACCTTCCTGTCATGGCCTCAGCGACCCCCACAACTGAGCACTGGATAAATGGGGCGCCCATGGGCCACTGTCCTATCCTGACCCTGAGGTGCCCCTGGATTTGATGGACCAACACTGTCTCCATCTGCCAACATGGCAGTTCTCAGGCTGGTGTCTCGTTGTTGAGAGCGGCTGTCTAGCTAGGTTGCTGCTCCTCCCATGGGGGCAGTGGGGAGGGTTCTAGTCTGGCAGCCTCCCCACCCCAGGAGGATGTCTTCCCCCAGAGTACTCACCCATGCAGGAGAAGCTCTCCTCAGGCCTGCCGGGGGGGCCAGAGAAGCCATCCAGGGCGCAGCTATCCTGGGGGAGGAAGCCAGGTTCCTCCTGGTCTGTCTGCAACCTGCGGGACAGAGAAGGCGTCGTCATGCGCGGCAGAGGTTGTCCTGGTCTCAAACCCTCTCTTTGGGGCTAAGGAAGCCCCTGGAGCCTGGTTTTTCTCTGCTGGTGCCCTGTACCCCTGTGGGCTGGGCCCTCCTATTGGGCATACATGTGTGTGCCCTCCAGCAGGCGGCAGGCCTTCTGGGCAACATTAGGCCAGGGCAGGGGGGAACCCCTGAGCACTGGGATGGCTGAAGCCAGTCGCCCTTTGGTGTTCTGCCTACTCCTCCTTCACAGGGCGGAGGGATCCCACAGTTTAACTCCAGGCCTTGGGTGTTTGTCCCGCCATGGTCCCTGCCCTCAGGATGTGCATATATGTACAGCTGTATGCATACACACAGGGAAGAACTCCCTCTGAAGCTGAGGTCACCAAGTTCTTATGAGAGCTCCGGGGGCACACGGGCCTCCGTGGGCTTGCTCGCGGTCCAGGCAGTGAGGAGGTCAGGGAAAAATGAGGGGCCGCCTCAGCTGGGGTCACAGTGACTCCCGGGAGAAGTCCACACGGGGCCAGCTGTGGCAGCAGGACGGAAGGGTGAGGTCTCTGGGCACCAGCTCCCAAGTGCACACAGACCTCTGAGCACAATCCCAACCGTGCAGTGGCTCCCAGGAACAAAGGCTGTGGGAGCCTTTATTACAGGCAATTACCCCGGGCGGGATCCCGGAGCTGGCCCGCCCAGCCGTCGGCCAGCTGTCTCCAGCTAAATGGACCTTTGGCAGCTTGGCTGCAGCAGGGGGGAGGGTGTGCAGGCAGGAGGGGAAACTGACGCTGGCCCCGGGGAGGGGCTGGGCCAGGGGCCCTGGGCGGCTCCAGTGTTGCTGAGATTGGTCGTCCTCTCTCTCCATTCTTCCTTGGTTCAACACTTAGCTGGCGCTGGGAAAGGCAAAGCAAGTCTCTTCTCTCTGGTCTCACTTCCCTCGTGGGGTGGAAGAGATGTCTCCAGGCCCAGATTGGTCTGACAGTCTAGGGCTGTGGGAGGTGTTTGATGCTCCTGCTCTGCTCTTTCTAAGCCGCGCAGGCGGGGTTGAGCTCCTGGGTGTCTGCAGGCCCCTCAGCTGGGTGCTGGGGATGGGGCCGGGGGGGCGTGCTCAGAGAGAGCAGACCTCATCTTGCCCTGGGGGGTGCTCAGTATGATGGGGTCACTCCTCATGCACCCGCCAATTCAATGTCGGCCCAGCTAGACGAGTGTCAAGGGGACAAGGGAACACTGGAGTTGGTTGGTTTCTTGGAAGAAATGAGTATAGACTTGGGTTTTTGAAGTCAGGGATGCAATTTGTTGGTGAGAAAGTCATAGGACATTCTACTGGAGAGAGCGAATTCTAGATAACATATAAATGTTCCACTGGATAACATCATATACGTGAAGGGTAAACACCGCCTGACCTAGAGCAGGCAGGCCATAACCAGTGTTAAGAATGGCTGGCTGTCATGCTTGTCATCACTGTGGTGCAAGGACGAGGGAGTCGGCCTCGACCATGTGGCCAGGACCCCAACCGCAGGAACACTGAGGAAGGCAGCCTTCGTCTCGCCAACCTCAGTAGGCTCTACACTCCTACCTCCACCTGCCTCCACCTCCCAAACACCGCCAGGCCTCCATGTCTCCCCTCACTTCCCAGCCTGAATGGACAGGACTAGCTATGCTAGAAGGTGGTTGGAGGTTGAACGAGAGAGAAGAAAGCCAACAGCCCAACACTCCTCATTGAAGTCCGACCACAGGCCAGCCCGAGGAGGGGGAGAGAAAGCACTGGGGCTGGAAACAGGCAGCAAGTACGGTGGTGAGGCTGCCGGGGCTCTTCCTGGAGGGCAGAGGGGAGTGAGGTGGCAGCTCTGATGGAACCCAATGGACGAGACCAGAGGATCAGAGAGCAGACCGAGGACAGTCATGCCTTCCCTGCGTCCAGGGAGTGGGGGATCCAGGAGATAAATGTCACTGGGAAGGACAGCACCCAGAGCCTTGGAAAGAGCCGGCTATGGAGGATGCGGCGGGGGAAGGATGGCTGATGGTTTTCCCTGGAGAGGCAGGTCAGGCAGGACTAGAGATGGGGAGCGGAGCTGGAGCTTTGCAGAAGCCAAGGTGCCGGGTAGGTACAGATTTCCATGAAGACAGGATTCTGTGACTTCTAGGCAGCAGATGGCACCTCCTTGGCTATGAAACTTGCAAGGGTAGCCCAGCCCGGCCCTTGGCCCAGTTCCCCATGGCAGCAGCTCCGGGCCTGCAGGGTGTGCTGGCTCCCGCCCACGGGCCTGCAGCACCTGGGGGCGTCCTCGGTCCTAATCTTCCCTTGTCCAACCATGACCCTACCTGCCACCCTAATCCGGGCCTGAGACAGGCAGGGCTCAGGGGTGGGATGGGGAAGGAACCCCCAGTGAGTCGCTGTGACACCTTTCCACTTCTGTTTAAAATGCAAACACGGAATAAATGCTTGCTGGGTGGAAGAACGTGGTTCTGTTTAGGCTGCACTGAAATGTGCAGAGGAAAAAGGTCTGACCTCTGTGGACAACATCAGATTCTAAGTATGCCGGGGACCTGTAGGGGAGATAACGTAAACTCTTTAACAATTTAACACCCAGACACTTTTCCCCAAAGACTGAATTCAAAACGAAAGAAATCAGGCAGGAGAAGAAAGTCAAGGAGTCTCCAGGCAAAGCATTTACTAACTGGAAAAAGGCCGTTCCAGGGAGGGTCTGCCCTGCACCTCTGCTTCCTTCAATTCTCTCAGCAGCTTAGACTCGACGTCGAGAAAGTCTCAAGGGACAGAAGGGATTTGCTCCTCAGGAAGAGGAACACGGGGGCGCCATGTGGGCAGTACACTGGTCAGAGAGATGCGACGAGAGGCGAGGATCGGCCGGTAAGAACTCCCTCCGGTGGTGGACTCAGCTAGAATTCCCACAATGATGGGAAGCTCACTGCCTTACAGGTAATTTGTAAACCTCTCTCGTTGTTGGAAAGTTCTTCCTACTGAGCTTCAAATCTGTCTCAAACTAACTTCCAACCACCACGACACTGACTCAATTCTTTGGCGCTGCACCAAGTAGATCTAATTCATCTGACAACGTGACAGCCCTTCAGGTACTGGAAAATAGCTCTCAGACGCTCTCTCAGCCTTCCTTATCCAAAGTGATAGACTTCTCTAGTGTGTTTTGTGCATCAACGTCCTTTTAAAATGTGGTGTTCGTAACTGAATGTAATGCTCCAAATGAGGGCTCACTGCACACAGAGGTAGTGGGACCATTAACTTCCCTGTGCTGGACCCCGCATATCTACCACTGGGGATAAGAGCGCCTGAGACCCCCAGAGATCGAGTTGCACTGTTGGCTCCTAGTGGTTCCCTACCCCACGACCCCCACGCTCTGCCACCTCAGAGCCCCCAGCATCCAGGGTACGACGTATGGGATTCTCTCTCCCCCAAATGTGACTGAGTTTCTCCTCATGTTAGCATAGAGAAAAAACCCAGTCAGTTAGGTTCTTCAGGAAGGGACTTAATTTGCATGTGAGCATTCTGAACTGCGTAATCCTTAGTAATTAAAATTTAGTTGACTTAATGTGACCATTTTAGTAAAGAGTCATATTTTTATTAAAAAAGCATAGTTGACGGAAGCGTTTTTCTATGCACTCAACCTGCCATGTCTGAAGAAAGCTGGAGAGACCAGCTTGTTGACCACATGGTTGTGAGCAGTGGCCCAGCCACCACCAGTAGTGGCAACCCCCATCTGACCATTTGAGAGCATTACTGATCACCCTTGGTGTGCCGGGCACACATACAGACACGCAGAAGGCAGTATGGTAAGTGGAGAAAGAGAGAGAGCGACAGACAGACAGACATACACAAGGTATTGTGGGAGCACCAAGGAGGAGCAGGGAGGATTCTTCCATGAACTGAAGGCTCGGTGCCCATGACAATGCAGTTAGCCTAACTCACAGAGGCAGCAAACGTCCCAGATGAGCTGGGTAAGACTGACTTGCCTACCTACGAATCTAGCTGCTTAAGCATCCATAGTACTCTAATATTCTGTCTCAGAGAACAGGAGAAATGGACATTTTAGGGGGACCCTCCTTAGGAGCTTCTGCTTGTTGTGAAGTCCTCAGAACTGAGAAAGACCAGAGCTGGGATTCAGGCCCTCTTTTTATGTTCCCAGTCCCATCTCAGCTCTCCAGACCCTCTGCCTAACTTCTATACCCTGGGGCCCTCTGTCTCCACCAGCCACTCATCATCCGGGCCCCTCTCCCCTTTGGGCTTGCCCCTGGGTCCCAGCTCCACGCCTCCCCCTCCCTCACACCTGCTCCCCCAGCTCACCTGTACTGGAATGGGGCCACAGTGGCTGTGACTGGCTGACTCTGCTGATGGGCGGAGGAGAAGCTGATGGCCCCTGGGGCCGGGGCCGCACGTTTGCTCTGCACTGGGCTGCAGACGGGGGAGGAAGCCCCTGAGGCTGCCCCGGCATCAGGCTCCAGAGAGCCGGGGGCCCCAGAACTTCTGTAGTTTGTGTCTCTTTGTTCCTTTCCTGGGTGGTTAGGAGCCTTTCGACCTTCAGGAGCCCCTGGTATTTGGGTTTCTCCATGAGAGCTCGTCCGGGATGGGCTCCTGCCCCGGGTCTGGTGGGTTGGAATCCCTTCCTGGGCCACCTTTTTCTTTCTTGGGGTGCCCTGTGTCTCCCCAACTCTTCTGGACCCAGCCCGGCTGGAGAGGGCTGTTTTTGGGGTTGCCCTGGGACTGCTCCATGGGGAGCCGGGGAGGCCTTCGCCACCCTGGGCCAACTCTCTCACTGCCCCAGAAGGCTTGGGGGAGCCTCTCCCCCGAGAGGCCTTAGGAGAGGAGCTTCTGGAAGGGCCTCCAGCCTTGCCCAGTCTTGGGGAGGCTGCTCGCTGGGGGCTCAGGGCTAGGCCGGCCTGGCGTGGCCGCAGCTGGGGAGAGGCGCCCGGCGTGTGGATCCTGGTCTGGGAAGTAGCTCGGGGCACAGGGATGGAGGAGGCATAGTGCACGCGGCTGGCAGAGTTCAAATTGGCCATCCCATTCATGGTTAGCGAGGCTGGTGATGCCGACTACGGTCCTGCAGGGAGAGGAGAGAGAAGACCGTCAGGCGCTGTCCAAGCTTCTGTTCCTGAGGGTACAGAGATGATGTGGGGTGGGGGGAGAAGGCTCCAGCATCCAGCCTGAGCGTCGGGATTCCTGGGTTCACATCCTGACTCCGTCACTGGCCACTTGCCTGACTCTGGGCAAACCCCTTTACCTCTCCGCTCTGGAGGCCGTTGTGAGGCTCATATACAAACACAGGTGTGAAAATGTCTCGTGAATTGTGAGGTGCTGTACAAGCGGGTTCACTGAACTTTCCTTGACTCTAATCCTGTCCATTGATGGGGATAGACTCTCCTTCTCACAGCCCCTCTCTCCTAGATCTTTCATTGTACCCTGAGTCTAGAATGTTCTGTTCATGGTGAACTGGCTCCCTTGTGTCTTCAGCCTTTTCTCTGCATGTTCCTTCCACTTGCCACTTCACCTGACACCTGGCTCTCCCAAGAGTCCCTCTCCAGTGGAGTGTAATCTTCTCCCAGATCCCACTGGGTCCAGAGGAAGGGCAGTGAATCACATCCCCACAAGTCACAAACTTGTAAGCCTCCACCCCAGGCCCCTGCCACCTGGCTCACACCATCCCCTGGTCCTCCTCATTGATGCCACCTCTCCTGGTCCCTCTCCACTGCCTCCGCCCCCTTGGTCACTGGAGATTTGGGCACCTGGCTCACCGTCTTCCTTCCTGGCCCATTCCCTACCTACCTCTTGCCCTGGCAACACTGACCTCTGCCACCCCCTCCTTGAGTCTCAGAGCCTGAGTGTCCCACCTTCGGATCAAGGCAGATTCCTCTACGCATCCCCTGCCCCCAGCACGCGATCCCTTCTTGTCCGGACCTTGATCCATTAATCATGTCATCTCTCTCCCATATCCTCAACCTCTCCTCCTCTACCAGCTTCCCCTCCCTGCCTTGTTAATTAATGAAGTAATTGGTCTATTAATCATTTTCATCTCAAAGGGAATTTGAAGTAGTTTACAAAGACACGAGCAATCAATTCCACATCGAGGAAAGAGTCAAATGTAGAAAATGAAGCCATAAAAGAATTTGGAGTGCACATGCATGAATGTTCCCATAATTTTGGTGTGGGAAAGGCCTTTATAAGCAACACATCACAGCAGAAATCATCAAAGAAACACTGATAGTTCAGTATGTAAACATTAAAATCCCTGCATGGACAAAAAAGCCCTTTCAAAAGGTTCAAGCCATCAACAAATGATAAAAATACTGCAACATATACGAGAGACAAGGAGTTAATACCTTTCAATATAGGAGCTCCACCAATAGAAGGCAAAAACCCCATAGAAGAAAGGGCAAAAGACTTGAGCAAGAAATTCACAAACTAATAAATATAATTGGCCAAAACATAACAAAACAGAAGTCTTCATCAACGTTGCAGAGATGCAAATGAAGTGTTATCCTCTGTTGCTATCAAATTTACTCTCCTTTGGAAAATGATAACACCCAGGATCAATGAGATGTGGCGTGTGGGCTGCACGGCTTCACACACGGCTGTGGGAACAATGCAGATCCAGAAACGCCTCCGAGGGAAGAAATGATGAAAGACACGGGCAAATGGGTTTGTACGAGGCAAACGCTCAAGCTGACTCCCGAGATCAGTGAAGGTGGAGGCCAAGGGTGTGTGGACAGAGACAGGACCACCCAAGACGGCCGGTCCGCCTGAGACCAGCGGGATGTCCCCTCGCACGCTGTGGGGAAAGCTGTCAGCACAGCACGGAGCGCTGATGGCTGTTGCTGACCTGCCCCTGACCTTGGCCTCTGTGGTCCAGGACCAGTGAGAAGCTAAACAGTAAAGAGTCATGTAGGCCCCGGAGCAGTGAGGGATTTACAGAATTACGGCTTGAAGTGACTGTAAGAGTCACTGCGCCTGGGACTGCTCTACTGACAGGTGAAATGATTTCCACGAGAAAGAGAAATGCTGTGACCCCCACCTCCTTTCCCCTAATTTATCCTTTAATGACTTGATTCCGTTATTCGATGAACTAAAGCAACCCACCTCCTCCGGCAGAGAAGGATGCAAACCGTGTGCATTCAGGGAACCAAACCAGCTCACCTGCACCCTTCCAGTGCTACCCATCACGTGGACCTACAGGACCGGGTCCCAGCTTGGCCAGCTCCTGCTTCCTCCCCCGTCTCGCTCACGCCTCTCCCTGCCCACCCACCAAGCCACAGACTGAAAGGACATTGAGTCTCCCTCGGCCTGCCCATAGTCCCCCACGCAGGGCCCTGTCCCCAGCCCCAGCATGCCAAGGACAGCCCCACAAGAGGGCCTAGGAAGAACTTCACACAGAGTTTTCAAACCTGCAGCTGTGAGAATTTGGGTAAATTACTGACCCTCTCCATGCCCAGCCTGCAAAATGAGGGTAGGATCAAATCTAGAAGCTGCAGTCAGGTGGAGAAACAGGGAGTCTAATAAGACAAGAAGAGAACCCCATGCTCTAGCCTGGCCCGGGACCTGTCGTCAGAATTCTCCCCCCACAGAGCCGAGGGTAGATTTACTTTGTCATCCTCCTTCCCTCCAACACCCCACCAGTATCAGCGACGTGCATCTCTGACGATGCAAGCAGGACCAGAGGCACAAGTGTGGACCTGCTCAGAGGCTCCTGTGGGCCCCGAGCTGCTGACCTTGGCCTCTGGCACAGAGCGGGGCCCTGCGCTGGCCAGCTGAGCTAACCAGCTAACCACCCACGAGAAGGGCCTAAGACCACTGACCCACTGCAGCCACACCCCTGAGACTGCGGCGTTCTCAGGTTCCATCTCCAGCACTGGCACAGGGCCACACGCCCACTGCCCCTTCTCCCCTCAGCCCCAGTCCCCACCAAGTCCTAGTGTGGGGACCAAAGCCACTTAGGCCCCCAGACCACCCCTTCTGGGAGCTGCATGTGTGAGAGCCCAGAACTGCTTCTTGGCTCCGCCACATCTCTTCTGGCAGCTGCGCCCCCCCAGGGCTGTAATGCCCAGGGATCCCCAACCCACCTACATTGTCCTCGACGCACCCCCAGCTCCCCTCGGCTCAGACTCCCCCAGTCCCTACACCTAGGCCTGGCTGATTTCCAGCCAAGAGAGCCCTGGGGCCAGGAGGCTGCTTCTACCTCGCTTGCTAACAGAGCTACAGGAGCCCTCATTTTTTCAAAAGCTCAACGGGAAGAGGATTTAAAAACATTCCTGTGGTAGGTCCCAGAGCCCCACGCTCCCCCTTCTCTGCGGTTGGGGCCCTGTGCTCTCCTCCTGCCTGATGACAGCCCTCACCCAGGAGCAGCCTGCATGAGGGTTGTGACAACCACTGTCCCAGGAGGGAGCCTGGGAGAGTCAGACACCTTTGGGGTGGGTGAGAAAGGCCCGCAAAGAAAATGAGCTGGTTTTCACTGGTAGGAAAAAGGCTCAAAGGAATTTTTCTGGTTTGCCTTCAGAGAGAGAACTCAGGTACTCAGCATCTTTGAGGGAGGTCAAAGGGCACTCAGCAGATCCCTCTGACCTGCACATAGTGACAGTATCTGTGTTTCTCTGAGACATTGTTTCTAATCCTCACAACAACCTTATAAAGCAGGTTTTACTACCCCTACCTTACAATAAGGAAAGGAAAACCAGGCGGAGCAGGCTGAAGGAGGTGTCCGAGGACATGCAAAGCTGGAATGTGGCAGAGCCCAGCAGATCAAATGCAGAAGGGCAGGAATCTGAGGCCCGGGGATGGAAACCCTCAGCCACACCACCAAACCCATGTCCAGCTTCAGGGTGCAGACCCAGCCTCCGTGAGCAACACTGTCGCTGCTGTGACTGACAGCTTCACGCCTTCCAGAGATGGGGAGGGGGGTGCGTAATCCAGTTTACAGAGTGGGAACCAGAGAGAAGAACACCAGTCCTGGGCAGCTCTGAGGGAGGCCTCTTTCCCCTTCCTCTTTCTCCAACACTCCTCAGAGCTAGCCAGTTTGCCCTGTCCCCTCATGTCCTATTTGCCTTCGGTGGTGCTGGGGGCCAGGGTGGTCCTAGGGCATTGCTCCATGAGAGACTGCAGGCAGCACGAATAGGGACAGGGAGGGAGATAATGGGCCAAATGCAGCCTGGCCACAGGCTTAATATGCCCAGCTGGTGGCAGGTGGCACCCTGGGCTAGGGCGGGAGTGAGGAGGAAGACTCTGGGTTACAAGTCTCTGGGGGGCCTGGGACAGAGAGGGAAGAGAATGCTCATGGGGGGTGGGCTCCTAGCTGAGACCCATGGGCAATGGTGCCTACAAGGCTTGAGGGTGGGGCCTCTGCCCAGATGGTCTCTCCTGGGGCCCAGAGAGATGCCTGCTGGCCATGGCACCCGACTGCATTCTTAATGGACCAATGACCTGGGAGACTCCCATGCTGGCTCTGGGCTCAGTCTCGCCTCCTGTGAAATGAGGGGAATCCTTTCTGCCTCCCCACTGCCTCCTGTCCTGAGCAGGGTGAATAAGGTAATTTCGGGAAAATGTTTGGCTTCCTGGGTGAACAGGGTGAGCTGTAATGTCCCCATCTCCTGGCTCTCAGTGTTAGACAGAAATGTCCCAGAGAAGCAGGACAATCTATGTCTCCTTTTGGACAGGGCTCTGTTCAAGCCAAAGAGCACGGCTATCCGTGCTGGTCACCCTGCGTGATGTCTGGGGGGGCTCAAGGGCAGGAGGCGGGGGTGGAGCTGGGAGTGGAAGCAAGGAGCCCATTTCTTTCTCACGTGAGTGGGTGTGCGTGCACGTGCACGGTGTTGCGGGATCCACCACATCCCTCCTCCTAAACGTGCTCTCTTTGTCCCTCCTCCTTCCGGTGCCCTGATCTGGAATTCACTTAACCTCAGTGAACAGATTCAAACAGATGGCCTCAAGTGTCCTTTGCCCCCTCATTCCGGGGACCCTGGCCCCCTGAGTTACATTAGGGAGCTGGTGCTCCCCATCACAAAAACTTGTTGCCCTGATGAAAGGGTTCCCGGCAGAACCCATTTGCTCAGCG